ACAGTTTATAAATGGGAGTCAAATGTGAAAAAACAGAAAATATAGTTCCATAGATTTCAATCGATTAAATTTATTTTTTCACCAATTTTAGCGATAAGTTTACATTGAAAAGTCTACTCCACTCATGGATATGAAACAAATATTATTACCGTCACAAGCCAAGACAAAATCACTGACAGTTCGAAACCAACTCTCGTGATAAGACAACATTCATACAAAGAAGCAAAGTATGCACAGTACTTACACACAATATGATGCCATGTTTGCCAATATCACATCATTATACTCCACGAACTGGCGACGTTTAAACTCTCTTGATATTTTGTGAACGAGAGAATCAGAGTATATAGTACATAGCACAAATAGGGTATCTGCCTGCTGCCATTTATGCTTAATTGTTTAATAAATTTGTCATACCTTGAACTGCTGTGGTATTTTTTCATCCACAAGAATGTAAGGTGGGGCTTTCATCACACTGACACGTCAATTGGCGAGTATTCCAATCGCAACAAAATTATATAATAAGTTAAAATCACACCCGTGCTTCTGCGATCGCCAGATGAGACTAGCCAATTGACTATCTAAAAAGTGCGCGCATACCTCTACATGCCTTGTTAACTTTTCCCTGAAAGGGGTTCATTTGAGGTCGTCTGATCCCGGTAACAGGGAAATTAAATGACAAAAGTTTGATGTATAACGAGCTCATGATTCTAAATAATTTTGCAAACGTTGGCGTTGCGTGCACGTGAGATGCTGCAGCGGCGTGGAGGCCACTACCGACTGTGCAATGGGTAAACAAAATCCAACTGGTGAACCTACGGTGGTGTTGTCGCTGACATACCGGTACAGGAGAATATTTTATATTTTAGCAATAGTTAGATATTAGGAGTTTTGAGATGCTTTTGTAAATGATGACTAAACTGTTTTTATATCTATACATATACAGGGTGGACGGAATATTACTCATAAACAAATACATTATGGGAAAATCTATTTATGGGATGTTATACAGACATATGAGGGCACATTTCTGAAATATTGCCTTATACAGGGTGTCCCAATTTTCGACCTACATATCAAATTGTGATTTTTCAAATGGAATGCCTATTGCACATTTGGATGAACCAATTCAAAAGAAAAAGATTATATACTATGGGGTTTTGGTAATAGCTCTGAGATAACGTTTTTGTCCTAGAAAAACCCCACTTCGCAACCCCTCAGTCCGCCATTTTGAAATTTGGAGTACTGAATTTTGTAAAAAAAAACATACACACCTCAGCTTTTGTCTTCTTTGTTACTTTTTCGAATTTTAATTTTTGCTCATACAGGGTTGTCAAAAACGCAAATTGTAGCTTTTCTCAAAAATTTCAAATGCATCACCCTGTATATTTGTGCAAGTTTGGATCAATTTTTCATAAGCTTTTTTTTGATAATAGACACATAAGGGTTTTTACGGCTATTTTTCGGTTATTAGCACGTCTTTTATGGAACGGCTTAATTCCCTAAAACATCGCACCATCTTTGGAAACAAATAAACTGTTAATTAGTTACAAGCTGTCAAAATTAGCTTTGTGAGCATTATAATAAAAACATGTTTGAAAATGAATTTTTTTAAAGAAGAAATGGTGAATATAGTGTTCATTTTGGGCGAAGCCCAAATAAATAGTTTCCTAGCATGTCGCATTATAAGCAACGGTACCCTAATATGCGACATCCAAGGCCGGAAACATTTTCCACACTACGAGAACGTTTTGAATCAAGTGGAGCAGTAGAATATAGTAAAAAATGAATAAATAATCCAAGTGTCACCAATGAGGCGAATCAGTTGGAGTTCTATTAAAGTTGCAGAAAAATCCCCATTTAAGTGCACGGCAAATTGGAGCAGAGACTGATAGATGCCAAACTTCTGTCCAAAGGATTATTCACAAGCATAGGTACCATCCATATCACCTATGCTTGCATCAAGGCCTTCGTCCTCAGCATTTCGCAGCTCGAATGGAGTTTAGTAGAATAATGCTAAATAAAGTGAGTGAAGACACTACTTTCCTGGATAAGGTTCTTTTTAGCGATGAGGCAATTTTTGATAGAGCATTTGCCTTTGCTTTTGGAGGATGTCAACCGACAAACTCGGATGCATATGTATTTCCAACATGACGGCGCACCTGTGCATTATGATAATCGTGTGCGTAACTATTTGGACACCTGGAGTAACAATCGTTGGATCGGTCGTGATGGGCCTATATCTTGGCCTCCTAGATCACCAGATATGACACCGATGGACTTTTTCCTATGGAGCTACGTTAAGCAAGAGGTTTATAGATATCCACCATCTACCCCGGGAAATATGAAGGAAAGGATTAAGGATGCTTTTCTGAACATAAGGGAGCAATGTGCAACGGTCATTTATCCAAAGACTACGGCTGTGTATTCAACATGGTGGAGATATTTTCGAGCAGTTTTTGTAGATTAGGTCTTGAGTAGTCATAGTTGTTTGTTTATGTTGTTATAGTTGTTTTTTTTTCTATTACGCTTGAAGCTGATTTATACTGTTCTGATTGTTATTAGTTTTACGTCAAATCTGTACTCTTAGTGGCAATATGGAACTAGCCCACCGTTTGACTTTTGTTTACATGGATGATGTGATTTTCTTCCTTAATTTTGGTGTGTTGTTCTATTAAAAGCTTAATAACTCAAAATAGTGATTTTATCTGAATTAAACCTTATACCAAAAAAAGCTTAAATATACAGGTGATGCATTTGAATTTTTTGAGAAAAAGTACAATTCACGTTTTTGACCACTCTGTATGAGCAAAAAAAAATTTCGAAGAAGTAACGAAGTAACAAATAAGATAAAAGCTGAGGTGTGTAATTTTTTAATACAAAATTCAGCACTCCAGATTGCAAAATGGCGGATTGAGGGGTTGCCGAAGTGGACAAAACACCTTACATCTCAGTAGCTTATTACCAAAACCCCATAGTATATCAATCTTCTTCTGTTGAATTGCTTCAACCAAATATACAATAAAATTTGACACATTCCATTTAAAAAATCACAACTTTGATATGTAGGTCAAAATTGGGACACCCTGTATAATTGCCAATATTTTAGAAATGTGTCCTTAAATGTCAGGTATAACATGACATAAATAGATTTTCCCAAAATGTATTATTTATGAGTAATATTCCGTCCACACATGGATGGGCCACCCTTGTATTTGTTCGAATTTTATGATCCTTCAATGTACCACCCATTTCGCCTAACCTTCAATTTGTGTTACTCCGTCTATGATGGTTCTCTGAATATTTCGTCAAGTCGATTAACTCAGTACTTATGACGCGTTGATGTACAACTGACACGGACTGACAAACCGACGCGTAAATGAGAAACACGGACTTGTGTGATGCAGATAGCAACAGAAAACTTGTAAACCGAAGCTCGAATATTATCATGATTTTAATACTACCATCGTTTATCGTAGATTTTAAAAATTGATTCAGAGGCAGCGAAAATAAAATCGCTGGACCATGTGCTACAACGTTTCAGAGATTCATACTCATCTTCAGACATTGTTTGGATGGGATGAAAATTGTAGGTTGGAAGCGGAATGCGATAAATGGTTGTAAATTGTTACCATTTTTTTGGTAGTTTTCAACAGGCAGACGATATTTCGCAAAAAAATTCGAGAGGCAGCTACTCGAATCCTTGAACTAGGCTATACAGGGTGACTTCGAAGTTGAGTCATTTATTTTAACAGTGAGTAGATCTGATCAAAAGAAATGTTTTTTTCCTTTAACATTTTTCTGGTAAAATTAAATTAACAAAGTTATAGAAATTATAGAAATTTGAGTACCGCCCTGTCTCAATGATAATATTATGTGCTCGTGTTTGGCGACGACGGATATAATCCGCCTTACCGGTTCATCGCATCGGAAACAAAAAAGCGAAAGAATTTGAAACGTTTATCACGATGTTTTTCGTCAGTCGGTAACGCGTGAGTGAATAGTGGTGATTGTTGCGTGGCTCAAACGAAATAAAAATGGCACATGTTTACGAAAATGCTGAACTTGTGGACATGATTCTTATTTGGGGGGGGGGGGGAGGAGTTTTTACAAAATGCTGCCGCGGCATCACGGATTTGTGCGAATCGGTTCCCCAATCGAGTGCAACCAACCCCTCGTGCCTTTGTTAGTGTAGTACAAAGGGCTCGTGAATCAGGTGAATTAAGACCTCACAGGGTTCTCCAAGACCGCACGATCAAATACAGGTCCGCACTGAAATACTTGTCGGAGGATACTTTATAAAACAAGGTAACATTTTTTTTTTATTTTTTTTTATTTTTACACACATATTTTGGTTTATCTTCCTTCTACAATCATTATCTGAAAATTATGACTCAACTTCAAAGTCACCCTGTATATTATTTATTTTTATTATTATAAAAAATATCACGAGTGTTAAATGCCTACAGCTTTTGAGGTATTATGTGGCAATATGGCGCTTTATCCATATGGGCGCATAGCGCCTACTTGAAATTTTCATATCTAATGTTGATACTCAATTTTTACACTAGCCAAAAATGATCATACGTTTATTATATCAATTTATTTACGTATACATACTTGCCACGATTCATATTCATAGATTTTTATATTTTTTTTTTCAGATGTTACCTGTTTGAAACACAAAAACAATGAGAGTGGAGCAAAAAAATTGGGTTACAGATTTTAATATTTCTGAATCATTTTCTAAGTGAGTTTCTTTCCGAAAAATACTAAGTATATCCCAATTTTTTGCTTCTGACAATAATACATCTTCCAATCTAAACAGGAATATGTAGATACACAAATGCCAAGCTGCTTATACAAAATCCACAATGTTTTGCTTACACCAGGCAGTAACATTCCATCTTTTAGTTGTAAGGTCTTCGCCCATAATACTGTATACCAGGATCATGTTATGTACCTGGAGAAATTTTTGCTAGTAATGCTATGTTCTGTATATGTTAGGTGACGTCGGCACATACCCGTATAATCCGCGTTTGGACGACGGTATCCCAGCAACAACGTTTTTGGAAAAGAAGCAAGGTAGAATAGCTCCTTTTTGCTGATTTTCAGCACTTGTTGCTTTAGGGAGTGGCAACCTACTCAGCCACTTTACTTATGAGACTATGCTCAGAATTGCTAATAAATAATTTTCCATCGACTTTGCATGGTACGAAGGATCTAGGACCAGTCTGCAATCTCAGCAGACCTGGTTACAGTGCTCTCGTAGTGCAAAGATAAAAACATATCTGATGCCACGAATGCATATAACTGTATAATGCTCCATATGAGAGCAAAATGATAGCTACAGCTATCAAGGTTGCTGAGGACAGCGAGCGGGGACAGCTATATAAATGTAATGTAACAGTAGTTTAAAGACAGAAATTTGATGGGATTCAAAAACCTTAAACTATTGCGACAATATGCAGAATACCTCTGCAAGCATATTGAGATTTATAGGGGGAGCAGGTAAGGACAAGTGAGAAAGCCAAAAAGACAGAGCCGAACAAAGACACCCTTATAATTAAAACAGAAAAATCGGTTACAAAACAGCTGTTTATAAGATGCTCAAGTTATTGTTTTGTTATTCTTTAATTCTTATTCATTCGTTTATGTTTCTCATGTTCACCGTTTCTTTCTGGCTTGCTATGCTTGTAAATAGTATAATTTTATAACTGTTCTGTAATTATTTTATGTTGCGTCTGTAAACGTTTTGTTATGTTTCGACCATATTGTAGTTAAGTGGAAGAGTAGCCGTCAAGCTAACTTCGCCACGATGTGGAAGATTACCAATAAAGTCACTTTATTATTATACAGGGTGTTCCATAATTATTGCGACAAAATGATAGGGGTGTAGAGGGCATAAAATATGCAATTTTGCCTTATAAACCCCTGTTCGTAAATATGCCGTTTGAGCACTACCGCTAATTTTACCTTAAGAGCTCATAGGAGAAACAAAAATTTCACCAGCTGCAAAATGTTCGTCTAAGCACTTTTCATGGTCTCGCCGGTTTGTAAAAAAAAGCCTGCTGAGTTTACATTTTTGTTATCGTAAATTCTCCACACCGATTCATTTAATTTATCTGAGTGGTGCGTCAAACTAGATAGTAAATAACAGTACCTTATTGTTAAAATGCAGCGTTATTCGTATGCGGAACTTACGGATATGCATTTAATTTACGAAGAAGCTGGTGGTAACGGAAGACGAGCCTCGCGAATCTACGCCCAACGGTTTCAAGAACGTCCTCATCAGCATCACGCCATTTTTGCAAGGTTTTATGGAGTTGAGGCAACCAAACTTTGGTCGCTACGTTTTGTTCACTGACGAGTCCTGTTTTACAAAGGACGGTTATTTTAATAGCCGTAACAGTCACATTTGGGATGAAGAAAACCCTCATGCCATAGCCATCCATAGAGACCAACATCAGTTTTCAATTAACATTTGGTGCGGCATTGTGGACGAGCATATCATCGGGCCATATTTGCTTCCACCACGTTTGGATGGGCATGCTTATGGTCGATTCTTACAGCATGGGCTACCGGAACAATTAGAAAATGTGCCACTTAACATAAGAGCCAACATGTGGTTTCAACACGATGGCGCTCCAGCCCACTTTTCTTTACAAGTGCGGCAGTATTTGGACGACAAATTTCCAAATAGGTGGATAGGCCGAGGTGGCCCTGTGCCTTGGCCTGCGCGGTCATCCGACCTGACCCCACTGGATTATTTTCTCTGAAAGCTTTAGTGTACGAAACTCCTGTTCCCAACCAACAAGAGCTACTGGGAAGAGTGATGACCGCGTCCGCACATGTTCAGGACATACCGGGGGTATGCCACAGAGTTCGCCGATCATTGAACAATCGTGCACAGCTGTGTATTGAGCAAGGTGGAGGACACTTTGAGCAATTACTGTAGGTAAGCTGTTTCAAGAAACTGATCTTTTTTTTTTGTTGCAGCCCAAACGGCATATTTCCGAACAGGGGTTTTAAGGCACAATTGTTCATTTTGATGCCCTCTACACACCTATCATTTTGTCGCAATATTATGGAACACCCTGTATATAGTACACGGTATACTAATACAGAACGCGGATGATCCGCTGCTAAGTGACGTTTTGGATACAATCTCAGTATAAGGTATAATGGACAAAGAACTCCAATCTATCTTATTTTTATTGCCTAATGTATAATGTGGATACCAAAACTTGTTGAAATTTCTGAGTAACAGCAGCTGCTCAAGTTTTCAAGTCATCATAAATAGATGTTTTCTAATTCTTTAGGTTCCCAATAAAACTGACATTTTTTAGTAAACCTCTAGAGAACATTTTTGAGTTTTTTAGTGGTCAAAGTCATGTTTAAACAATATTATACTAAACACAAATATCAAGCAATTTCATGCCTGTCATTTCTTATATAACGCCAAAATATGTTGAAAACCTATGTCCTACTGGGACATCCTATATAACTTCATGTATTTGCAGAGAAAACATATCTCAATAACTGCAACGCATTTTAACTCTCATACCACCTTCACCCCTATTATGTAAAAAATCGTAATTCTGACGATTGCAAAATTTGCACCAGGCACTACGCTAGTCGGATAGCCCACATGCGGTGATCGCCACCTATGGAGGGATGACATAACGACCATTTTGGTGGCATTTGCCTTAACTGCCGCAACCCAAATTTCGCTAGCATGGTTTACGGGTTGCATGCTCGTACCTTCAAAAAGTACTGCTGTTTCAGCTGCTATTAGAACGACTATTCTAGCATCATTTCTGTACTATATGCATGAATATACTTCAGGTTATCCACTGGTTCATAACAATTTTTAATAGACCAGGTATGCATGAAGTTAATTTGACCTTTGGAAAATGCATTTAGCCAAGTCTCACGCAAAATATAAACAGTCTGGAATGAGACTTTTGAATTTCAGTTCAATATAACATCTAAAATTGATGCTGTGGTTTTCGTGTTGATAGAACTTCATGCCCCTCTGGCCAAATGGATCTAAATATGTTAAAATTACTTTTTCTGACGTTTCGTTCATCAGGGTAGCCTTTCGGAGAGTACAGTATTTCCTGCTCCAGAGACGGTGATTTCAATGTCCATAATGAGCTCTGGTTGGGCTCAAACAAGACCGATGCAGTAGATCGTGCGGTTGAAGGGTTCGCTATTACGGAAGGACTGACCCAGCTGGTGACGAGCCCTATTTTTCCCCCGCGTTTCGTCACACGCCAGTAGCCTGCTGGATCTCTTGCTGGCCGCGCATCCTGTCCCTTAAGCACTGCTGGGTAACCCAGACCACGGTGTTGTGCAGGTTGGGTTTCAGTCAGGATCGGCTGTGGCAGCAGAAACTCGCCCATTCCGCAAAAAATGTCGACTGGAAGGAGCTTAGAGTATTTCTCTCTACCTTTCCTCCGAGGGATGTATTTTTCGCTGACGCGGATGTGTGAAAGTGCCTAACCACGGTACAACGGCTGATTCAACAACTTGTGGGACCCTGCTCGTCAGCAGAAAATCAAGACACACAGATCCTTGTTACAAAACCCCACTGTAGAGAACGGACAAGCCCGACGTCGAGTCCAGAAACAAATATAACGGAAGCGATCCGCAATGCGAAAGACCAGCACGATATATTTCGAAGTGGGAAATATAATATGGATAAAATATTAGTGAAGCTATGGTCAAGAAAATAATTATGAATATAGATATCACAGATATTCGAGGAGTCTAAATTAAAACGCGATAACGACTACAGAAAATTATCAGTAACCCAAAGTGAAAATGATTGGAAACATATACAAAATCAAGAAATGGTGTGTAGCAGTTCTCCGGAGGGAAAAGAAAAAAATACTATGATAAGAAGACCGATAGCAATAAAAATAATTCTAAAATAAAGAATATTGTTTCTCCAATAGAAAGACTGAATTATCTAAAATGCGTTTCGAAGATGGGGTAGTGACAGACAAATTAATTATAGCAGGAAGAATAAAACACTTATTTTATAGAAAGTTTAATCAAATAGTTAACACGATTGATGACGCGATCCAAACTTATGGCCATTACAAGTATGTCAGAATCCATCAATGAAGCAATTTAGGACAATTAACATCAACAATCTAAGAAAAGCTATCTCAAAATTGAAATCTAATAAAAATCCAAAAAATATTCTAAATGATTGTTTCAATATATTGGAGAGAAATTATTATTATTGGTGAATCATTGTTTAGTACATGGTGAATTCCCATCAAAATTAAAGTGTTCCACCATTACTCCTGTGCCAAAAGTTCAAAATTCTCAGCTGTACACAAATATGCGACCGATGTCGAGAAGCTGTTCGAAGGGATAATATACGAACAAATCATAGAATTCATTGAAGAAACCAACATTTTGATAAAAAATCACGCTGGATTTAGAAAAAAATGTTACACAGAAACGGCAATCCAAATAGTGGTGGAGACTGGAGAAGAAGTATAGATGAGAAAGAATATATTGTAACAATATTTTTAGACTTTCAAAAGGGTATTTGAGACTATAGATAGGGAAAAAGTTAATGAAATTGCGTCACTATGGCTTTAAAGGATCAGTATTACACATTTTTACAAAATTATTTAGTGAATATAAGTCAAAAAAATAAAGTTGGAAATATTATGTCAAGTGCTCAAAATACACCTATATCAGTAGGGGTGCCACGTGGAGTAAATTACTATTTATTATTTATATAAATGATATCTCTAACATTTTAGAACACTGCAAAATTCAAGTATTTGCGGACGATACACTTATATATATGAGGGATGTCTTTTAAGTTTGCATATAGAAACATAGTAGGCCGGGCGGATCGAACGTCAGTACTGAATCTTAACCTCACTCTTTAGTAAAGGTAAATTCAAAGTTTCACAACAATACGTGCAGTGTTCTTACTACAGTGAATTTTTAAGTGTCACCAAGTCATTAGAAAAATTGAACTCAACCGATAACGTTTTCGCGCCAACTTTCAGATACAATTATCGCAACAAGAATGCTTTGCTGAGTTACTGTCTGTTTTCGACAACGAAGCGCCACAATCAGTCGACAATTTTCCCGTTGCTATGGAGAATTCAAACGTGGACGGGTGAGTCTTAGCGACGATCCCAGGGGGGGTGCACCAAAAACGGCAGTCACCCAGGAAAACGTCGATGCTGTGCGCAAACTCATCATTGAAGATAGACATGTGACATATCGCGAGATTGAGGCGTCCTTGAAGATCTCAAAGACCTCAATTCAAAAAATTGTACATGAAGAATTAGGAGTGAGAAAATTGGTTTCTCGTTGGATACCCCACCTGTTGACTGAAGAGCAGAAAGCAGCCAGGGTTAATTGGTGTCAAAAAAACGCTTGGACCGTTTCAATTCCGGAAACTCAAAAAATGTGTACAGCATTGTTAGTGGTGATGAATCGTGGATTTACTGTTATGAACCAAAAAATAAATGACCGTCGGCTGTTTGGGCGTTCCAAGGTGAAGAAAAGCCAACAAAAGTCATCCGTTTCTCGAAATGTTTCGAAAAAGATGGTCGCGAAATTTGTGTTAAAAGCGGGTCATATTGCAACAATTCCTCTTAACACGTTCCCTGTCAACGTGCTATGAACGATTTGTTCACCATGCGCCAAAAGATCTTTTCATCCCTAATTGATGTATTAGAATAAAAATAAATATGTTTTAACACTGTATATTATCTATAGTGATAATGATCCCATTTTTAGAGCTTTCGGTTAAAATGACCGACGCGGCGTGCAAGGTTAATTTGGTATCTCTGCGCCGCGTCGGTCACTACTTCGGTCATCTAACCTTTAATTTTACACGCGGTCGGAAGAATAGGGTTAGCCGGCAGAGAGGCGAGTTTGCGCTCATCTTGTAGCAGTTGATTATAGCTGTCGGGTGTGTACTTGCACGTCTTATTGCTTCACAATTTTATTTCCTATTCACGAGATTGTTCAAACGGAAAGTATTCGTTTATTCGTGATGAAAATAAACTTACAGAAGCAGAAATGATGATCCTGCGTGATATGTCTGATGAAGACACAGACGACTCGGTCAGAGATAAAGCTTTTCAACCTAGCTCAGAGAGGTAATATAAAAACTATATAAATAACTAATATACTAAAGCATGAATTATAGGTAGATATACAAGAATATAAAAATGATTTATTCAGGTGAATCGTCATCCAGTCAATCTTCACGAGATGATGCACAGCAGAATCGTAAAAAGGCCTCGGCAATAATGACTTATTCCAACAATCCTAGCACTTCAGAGGATGATTTTGGTGAAGCAAATACGCAGGTAAACGATGAAAAATAATGACACCTGGTACTTACCCCAGGCCAGTTTCGGGAGTATTTTGGGGGGTAAAGTCCAACGGTGATGAAGAATTAGTACAAGGTCATCCGAAAGATTTTACATGGCAGTGGTTGAAGATTCCATTTTCCAAATGATTGCAGACCAACACCAACATTCTGCTACTCAGCAGTTAGAAAATCATTCTAATATTTCTGCCTCGTCCACGACTTCACCAATGGGACCCTACAAGTTCTGCGGAAATAAACGTTTCTCTTGGACTAATTGCTTATATGGGATTGGTGAAAATGCCATATATCAAAGATTATTGGAGCAGAGATCCCATTTTCAAAACCGAGTTTGCATCCATTGTGATGCCTCGGAATCGGTTTGAAAATACTGCTACGTATGATTCATTTTGCCAACAATGATGAATGCAGAGAAGGGGATCGACTACATAAAATTCAAGGCCTAGTCTATAAGCTTGTGCAGAATTTTGAGGCTCTTTATCATCCTGGGGAATCAGTGTGTGTTGACGAGTCGTTATTCCTTTTCGGGGCAGGCTGATTATGCGTCAGTACATGAAACAAAAGCGCCATAAATATGGTATCAAATTGTTCAAGCTTTGTACAGGACATGGATATACTTTACGTCTGAAAATATATGCTGGGAAAAATCTTGAAGTACGAAAAACAACACCAACTAGCGTGGTTATGGAACTATGTGAATCTGTTTTGAATGTTGGCCGTACGGTTTTACACAGCTAACTGGTACACTAGCACGATCTTGCTAACAAGCTTCTCGATAAAAAACTCATTAGTGGGAACATTGAGGAGAAAGATAAAAAAAAATGTGCCGAAAGAAGTAACTCAAAAAGTAAAATGAAAGGGGTGAAATAATTTCGAAAGAGAATATCAAGGAATTACCGTTCCTCAATTGGAAGGATAAAAGGAACGTTATTATGTTATCAACCAAACACACCAATGAACCGGTTGATGTTCGAAAGGAACGGTGAAAGTGTTGCTAAACCTAAGGTTGTAGCAGACTACAATAGGCAAAATCGTCTGTCGATTTATCCGATCAAATGGCTGCGTATTCTTCACCTCTACGAAAAACTGTGAAATGGTACAAAAAACTGACCATTGAGTTACTGTTATCAACAGCTTTGATAAATGCCTATATTTTATACAGGGAATGTACAGGCAATGTTATCGGTATTGTTGACTTTTGAAAAGAGGTAGTTCGATATTTGGTGTCGTGTACCGACGAGCATCAACAGCAAAACCAAATAATAATGGAACCAGAAATACCAAAAAGAGTACGCCATAATTTGGTAAAAAAAGAAGGGAGAGCCGTTGCCGTAAGGAAACATTGCAAGGGATGCTATGAAAAAGCAGTTCAAGATGGAAAAAGAGCCCAAAGAAAGAAGAAAAGTCAAGAAAGTAACCACGTTTTGTTCAGGATGTCCAAATGAACCGTTTCTGTGACTGACGTGCTACAACAGAATACACAGAAATCTTTAAATTCATAAAATGTTCTTCATTCCAATGTTTCTGTTCATGTCATTAATCTTAAATCATATATTATAAAATAAAATTTGACAGTAAACTAACGTGTTTAATAATCTAATAAAAAATGAGAAAAACAAATCTCCAAACAGAAAAACAAAAAGTTTTCATATGCCTTTTGCTCGTCAGCCGTTTCGGTCACGCATTATGCATATCATGGTACAGCTCCTGACCGGCGGCGCTCTAGAAGCGAGTATAGAACCGTTGAAATTTTCGGTCATATTGACCAACGCGGCCTGATTGCATACCATTCCTTTCGGTCATTTTGACCGAACTGGCAGGTAACGTGTTAATGAGCAAAGAACTGTTACCTGCGGATTGGTATACCACCATTTGTTTGCCAAAGTCATCACCGAGCTTCGAAAAGTCAACCCCGAAAGAAGAGAACCATCCTCCATCAAGACAATGCAAGCTCGCTCACAGCCCAACAAACAAGGCAGTATTTAACGGAAGAAAACGTGGAATTATTGGACCATCCTCCATATAGTCCCTATATAGGTCCTACCGATTTCTTTACTTCTTTGCGTGGTCAAAGGTTCCAGTCACCATAAGAAGCAGTTGACGCATTCAAAAATGCCGTTTTGGATCTGCCAGCAAACGAGTGGAATAAGTGCTTCGAAAATTGTTTTCGAGCGCATGCAGATGTGTATTAATCTTCGTGGAGAATACTCCGAAAAACAATAAAGTCATTTAAAAACTACCTACCGTGTTGTTTTATTTCCATATGCAAAACTTAAAAGACATCCCTCGTATATACAAGGTGACTTCGAAGTTGAGTCATTTATTTTAATAGTGAGTAGATCTGATCAAAAGAAATGTTTTTTTCCTTTACCATTTTTCTGGTAAAATTAAAGTAACAAAGTTATAGCCCTTTGGAAGTTTGAGTACCGCCCTGTCTCAATATTATCATGTACTCGTGTTTGGCAACAACGGATATAATCCACCTTATCGGTTCATCGCATCGGAAACAAAAAGCGAAAGAATTGGAACGATGTTTATTTTATTCAGTTCAGTTATACATACAGTTAGTGTCAGTCGCGTGTGAATAGTGTCTGTTGCGTGGCTCAAACGAAATAAAAAATGGCACATGTTTATGCGGATCGGTTTCCCAATCGAGTGCAACCACCCCTCGTGCCTTTGTTAATGTAGTACAACGGGCTCGTGAATCAGGTGACTTAAGACCTCACAGGGGACCTCACGATCAAATACAGGTCCGCACTGAAATACTTGTCGGGAGGATACTTTATAAAACAGGTAAAAATTTTTTTTTTATTTTTTTTTTAATTTTTACACATATATTTTGGTTTATCTTCCTTCTACAATCATTATCTGAAAATTAATGACTCAACTTCAAAGTCACCTGTATATATATACAGGTATAAGCATTTGGACACTGGTTTAGAACTGTTAAATAGTGATATTGAAAAAGTTATGAATTGGTTAAATGTCAATAAACTTGAACACTAATAAAACAAAATGTATGTCAATAGGGAAACATTTAGGTGACAATACAATTAGGCTCATGATTAATGATTAAAAAATTGAAGTAGTCGAGTCATTTTAAATATCTTGGTATATACATATGTGGATAGTAAGCTACTGTTTCACGAACATTATGAGTACATTATTTCAAAAATATCGAAAAAGATAAATTACTTCTATAGAGTTTTCCATAATCTTAGTATGTATTCCATAAAAATTGTGTATAACACTATAATTCTTCCCCATTTTTTATATTGTTCAACCATCTTGTTTACAGCAAATGAAAACATATTTTCAAAATTACAAATTCTACAAAATAAAGCTATGAGAATCATTTTAAATAAAAACAAATATACTAGGATTAAGTCTATGTTAGAAGAACTGCAGTGGTTGGATGTGAAAAATTTCATATATTATGTAGTTCTCGTTTTCATATTCAAATTAAAAAATCATTTATTACCACCACATTGAGAGAACTTTCACAAAATTAAATAGTCATTATCGTAACTACGAAACTAGAGGCAGTATAGATTTTCATCTACAAAATTGTAATAGTAGCATAACTAGTAAATCTATATTTCAAAAGGGAGTATTTGAATTTAGTTAATTGAATAATGATATAAACAGAGTTCGAATTTAAAAATGTTTAAGGTGAAATAAAGAAACCACTTTATGAATAATCAAAATACATAGTGACGTAATTTTAATTTTAATAGACAAGTATGTAAAATTACAGAAAATGGATTGAAGAAAAATTGAGATTGTAGCATTAATGCTAAATAAATCTTCAACAAAAACATCAACAACAAATATAAAAATTAGGCTCAGGGTGACGTCGCAGCGCAATGGCTGGCCAAGCAGATTGAAAGGAAGTACTCAGAGAGTAGCCTTCCACCACTCAAGTGCCAGGATGGAGCAATTTTGCAACCGACTCCAAGGTTAAGGCGGAAGTGCTTGCCAAGATCTTTGCCAACTACACCATGGATATCCCCCCAATTTGTTTAGTTTGAAAAAATCCAGAATTTTTAACTTAATTTTCTCAGACCTCGATTTTTACACTGCCTTTACGTAAGTACGGCAGTATATTACAGTACATCTTAGGCAACAGAAGCCGACTCTGTAGTTTCTCAGGCACAAATGAAACATGACACCAACAGCATATACCTGACGTTTAGGTAATACACAGCTAGTGCGTCAGTAGTAGCTGGTACGTAGCGTAAATTTTGTAATCGCGAGTCCCAAATTACACTGTGCTTTCACGTAATAAAGGTGTCGGTTTTTCATACTTAATACTGTTTCTGTCAAAACAATTTAAGTCGGCTGATTCTAAAACCATTTCTGCTTAATTACCTGAACGAATAAATACATAATACATAAGAATTATAACATCAATGCAATGGTGTTAAAAATGATTAGCTACAAATAAAATATACAAGCAACGATCAAAAAGATCAACAAAATTGCACTGAAAAAAATGCACGTGAAAAGCATCTTTAGAACCAAATGCATAGTCCACTTGAGTCCACTTATTTTGAGGTCACCGTATATGCCTTGACAGTCTGCAAATATCATTCTCAAGGAAGATGGTGACGTTGTTCGATCTGATACCTCCGTTTACCCTCAAATTTAACACTTTCCTGTTCAAACATTTACCTGTCTATTCTGGTACATATAGCTACAGGAAACACAGTCCGCATCAATCTTCAAATTAGGAATCATTGATAATCAGAGGATCAAGGCCACCTTCTTTGACATTTGCAAGATCTCCTGTTATTCTCAAGAGACAAAGCAATAAAGAGGACTCAAGAAACAACTACACTACTCGAAAAAAATTGAGAGAAAGAAAAAATCCAAATTTTTCAGTGACTTTTGAGCATTTTGAAGCTTCAAGATTCTAGTTTTTAGGTTTTTTAGACAAAATTTATTAGCAGCACAACAGTTCTTATGCAGTTCTAACAGCACAAGGAAGTTTTT